AAAAAACTTGACATGTTGCGAAACTCAAAATTTTAGGTTAAATTTCTCAAAACTTGGTACTGAGAAAATAGAACTTTGTAATTCTTGGGCAGCAAATAAATACAAACAAGAGACAAACACACTTCAAAGAAAACATTCATGACTTGCAGTCTAATAAATTTGCGGAAGAAACCCTCCAGACATCCTGAGCATTCCCTTTTTTTATCTCAGAATTGTACAATGTAAAACAAAAATGTACCTTATAATATCGAGTTGATGTCTCATCCATGTAGAACATTATAGATTTGGGATCCAGTCTCCAGAAATGTCTTTTTCTCTGTGGAGAAACAGCATTTGGTTACTATATAATACATAAATTAAATGGCACTAAAAGTTGAAAACACGGCTTACAACTTAACTCCTCTTATGCTGTGTAATATTGTGTGTATAGGCGCTACATCATTGCATCATGTATTATAAGATGTTGATATAACCCATGAATCATTTTACGTCTGCAAACTAAACTCCCTTTACGTTTTGATGTATTGTTTGTACTGGCGCAACTTTATGTATTATATGTGAGGCATCGAAGTGAAATCAGGCGCTCGTCAAAATAATGAAGTCGAAGATATCAGCGAGGGTCTGCTGGGGTAATAATAGTTGTAAAGCACATAGAGCGTGCTCTTGAGCATGGATATGCGCTATATAAATGCAATTATTATTATTATATTATTATTATAAGAATTTTTCTCCAGTTTGACAATTTTTTTCCCTAATTCTTGTGTTTTGGCTCAACACCTTTTAAGTTCCATTAAAAACATATTTCTGTGTGGATTTAACCGAAAAACATTGATTAAACAAATGTAAATTTTCAGTTTCCAAGGACTCTCAAGCTTTGGAAATCACCAAACTTTGGTGGCCATTTTCTCGCTAATTTTAACTCTGAAATAAGGCGACCCTGACCTCCTTCAATCGCAGCTATCTCGACTTCTATTCTAGATAAACGTGTACTTTTTTCAGCAAAAGATGGTCAAATAATGAAAAAGCTTTAAGATTATACCAATAACTCCAGATGTAAAAAAATTGACGAGCGTCTGATTCTACCACGTCGTGACATATATGGTCGCTTTTAAGCACAAGGGGGCTATCCCGAAAAATGCTGTTTTGAGAAAATCGAAGGGAAAGTTTTTGCCCCTTGTTCAGTTTCTTTAAAAGGCAAGTACAGTATTCTCTATAACCAAACAAATATACACACCAATGAAATCAAACTTCTCCTATAGGTAGGGCAATGCCCACTTTTAGAGAGGGTCAAAATTCCTGGAAACCCCTGGAATCTGGGTGAGCCTGCACGTCCTTAAAAGCGACCATATGATGTTGATATTACACCTGAAATACTTTAAGTTTGCGGTGTACAAATAATCGTCATCCAAATTTCTCCGAAGGGATAAACAAAAGTTGCACTTTTCTTCCTTCCTTCCATCTCAGTACAAGGAGCTCAAAGGGAAAATAATCTATTCCATTCATTTCTCGTAGTCAGGAAATTTTATGAACACTTTATAAATATTCCTGGAAGTCTCCATTGATGCTACAATGACTGGCCAGGACTACTCATAGAACAACTTATAAACAATCTAACAGAAAAAAGCTCAGAGTTAAGTTTTAGTAAGAAGTCTATGGCACTTGCATCACAAACAGGTTATATAAGTGCAGAATATTAGAGGTGTTACAAGAGAGAAACATACAAAGAAAAGAAGGAGAATAAGGACAATAGATGTTTGATAGGAAAAAAGGAGCAATCTTCACCCATTCGCAAATGCTCAGTCTGAGTAGAACAGAGAGAGTTCAGTTTTAGTAAGTGTTTTACGGCACTTGCAACACAATAATGTTCATATAAGTACCAAAGATTAGAGATGTTACAAAAGAGTAACAAACACACACACACAAAAAAAGGAGAAGAAATAAGGACGACGGATGCTTGATAGGAAAAAAGCAGCAGACCACACCAGGGCACCTGCCAACCACCCATGACCAGAGGGACAAAACACTTATCACATACAATTTTATCTTTATCTGTGAAGTGGACCATCCAGCCTTCCTTCAGCGTGCGTGATCCGGCTCGCTTTGTGTGTTTGACCGACTGCACCACTCGCATCAGGGGGATGTTGCTGCTGTCAATGGGGCTGGAAAAATGGCCAAGCAGTACTTTTATAAATGATGCATTTGAAACAGCAGTGGCGGCGGTGGTTTTAGTTAAATGGCGGTGGTGGAGGAGGAATCATTCCTCTTCTTTGTTTAAAACTTCCAACAGACAAAGCAGAAGAGTAAGTGTAGTTTTTTAGGGTTGAACATGGCATTTTGGGAGCTTTTCCAAACAATTACAGATCCTTTGCTACGAAATACCAGTAACCCTATAGCATCATAAACTTTTTTGGATGGAGTTGGTGTGATGAGTCGGCGAGTAAGGGACTTTCAGGGCATAAGGATTTTCATAAAAAGACAGAAGATTGGAAGGATAGTTTGTTCACTGCTGAATTCAGGCCATGTTAAAAGTCTACAGTACTTCCGCATTTAAACTGCAATATTTCATCTGAGAGCACACTAAGACAACAAAAGTAGAAGAGAAAGACACCACCGAAGCATCCACCAACTATAAACCTTTTTCTTCCTTCTTTTAAAAGCACACATTTTTATTACATAATACCACGATGCCACCTTTTAGAACTGAATGACAAAATCCTTTTCCTTCTATAACATCTGTGCATCCACAGGAATGTGCACAAACACACACACACACACACACACACACACACACACACACACACACACACACA